GCAAAAAAAATGACATGTTTAAAGCTATTAGAATTTCAAGTGCCTAAAATATGAATGGAATTTAAAATTGTAAATAAATTATGATTTAAAAAGGATTTTGATTTAAATCAAATTCAAATTCATAATTTTTTGTGCATTTAAATGAAAGATCTGGGCTAAATCCAAACACACCATAGATGCTTTCTGCTTCTTGGCCAAAATAGACGTGTTCTTCATTATATCGAAGATTTTGATTAGTTAAAAGATTTCCGGAAAGAGCTGTACTCCTCCTTTCACTTATTTCTTTGTCCTTAACTATAGTAATGGACTGCTTTAACTCAAGCTTATAACTAAACCTAAATGGATGTAATAGTTTGGGCAACTGAATGGTTAATATCTTTATATTCTTTTAATTATAATCCCTAACATGTCATTACATGAAAGCCAGGTGGACTTGATGTGTGTTGAAGCACATGCCTTGCACTGAAATTTCGATTACCCCAATTGAAATGTAGATGTTTTGGCCATCTATATTTTGACCCAAGCATATAAGCTGTGTAGTGAAGGCTTGAAAATAATGCTGCACTTTTATTATAGAACATTAACAATCAGAAATTTGATGATCTGATAATAGAATCAATTCATTACAAGTGTTTGGCTTTCAATTCTCACAAAACCACTTATCCGTTATCTTCTTCCCCATGGCACCACAAGGAAGAACATCACTCATCAGGAATCGGGTTCGCCTATTGAGGACTTGAATCTGCCATTGGCTGTCCTTTGAGGAGTCTGCAGCAACTAACATCAGCCGTGCAAAAGAAAGTTTGTCGATGTTGATGGAAAGACTTGTATACACCATACATCATTATTATATATATGTTGAAGGAATTTTGATGATGTCTACAATTCAAGTATATGGTCTCTTTTATAAAGTTAATGAGTATTCATATATCATTATTGATTTTAGGATATTGGATGCTCCTAAAGAAAAAGTTCTTGAGTATTTTTACACATTATATTTGTTTCTTTTTTTTTTAATAGTCATTATTGTTAATGAACATTAGTCAAATTTAATGGAATGAATATTGTTGCATTCATTAGACCAAGTTTTTAGATATTATTACACCTTTATTCACTTAAAAATACTGAATGTTCTCAGAGAAAAAGCTATTGGATATTTTTGAATTTTAAGTTTATCATTTATTTTGAATTCTTATCTCTGCAATGGTTCATTTATTGCTGTTATGTGTTGCATTTTCACTTTTTAAGAACATAATAAGAGAAAAACTGGGTAAATCACACTTTACTCCCTTGATATGATAATTTTTTCCCCAATATCTATACTCTACATGTTAAACCAATTTATTGAATTGACTAATACTTTTTTCCTGTAATTTATTATCTTCATCTACGTGCTCGTTGAACCTCTATTTGTTGGTGGAATAAAGTTTTTGCGAAGGATTTGGTCAACATTTCCATTGCCCTGAATTGACAGCATTTTTTGTGTGCTTGGGTTTGTATGCCTTGACAAGCATGGTGCTTCGTGTGAAGAGAAAATGATACATAGAGTAGGAGAGTTTCACTTGACTAATTCTCATCAATTTAAGAATCAAACCTTATAAATCTAAATCACTTTTATAAACAATTTTTGTTGGACATGACAGCCAAAAAGAGAGTAAATGGAGTTCTTTAAATTTCTCAAAAACTTTTCCCAATCCCAATGAATAGTAAACAACAAAAAAATAGAGTGAAAAATTGATTATGATAAAATCAATTAATTGTGAGGAGAGAAGAAGAGAATGACAAAAAAAATTTATCCTAATTTAACTCAATCACTTCCACATTGTTCTCAAGAAATTTCTAGAAATTTTACAGCTAGCTCAGCAAGTTTTCAATTGAACACTTGCAGCCACAGTACAGTCTCAATATTCAAAGTCTTGTAACTGACTTAATCCCTTACAAAGACTTGTAAGAATCAAAATCCAACTTAAGAAAAACCTTTTTTTAACCAATACTTTGAAGTATTCAAACATGAATGCTTATAAAATCTCAAAAGGTGTAAATGAATACAAAAACGCTTAAATAGAGTAAGAGAGCTTCTTTATAAAAATTCAATGAAGTAGTTGGATGCAATATATTTATTACCAACCAATTAAAATTAAATGAGGTTTTATTTATAGTTTTTGATTATATTTAGAAGCAAGAAATAGCAGAAGAGCCATTACCAGAGTTGCAACATGCAACAAAGATGCGGCTTGCAAAAAGCACTTTATTGCAGAAGAAATAAATACACGTCAGAACATTGGGCGTCATCTGGCGGATAGCATGTTAACTAGTAAAAAATGCAAGGTTTTGGGTTCTGGTTAGTGTCTTCGGGGCCCAAAATTGGTTAGATAGCGTGCATATCGTGCTAACTGATGTGGCTGGGAGGAAAGCATTGATGAAACAAGATGAAGACTCTCTAGATATCTTGTTATTTGTTGATTAGCGCACTATTGGAGGTACCGGAAGTAGATCGTTTCTGATTAAGTGGCTAGCTGCCTAGATATATAGAATAAAAAAAATAACAAATTAATGACAAAATTTAATGATGGAATAAATTTTTATCATTAATTTATCACTAATTCATCACTAATTTATTAATGAAATCTTTTGTTACTAAAAATTCTGTCATTATTCTCCGCTAAACTTTCATAAATAGTTTGGCAATGGAATTTACTAAAAAAAATTTATTGTTAATTTTTAGGATATCTTATTTTAATTTTGTGATAGAAGTTGCAACAAAAAAATTCATCACAAATATTTCCATCATAATTCCATCGTTAATTTTGTCGTAAATTATTTTTTAATTTTATTATATGATTTATAATATATATTTATGCATAATTAATTTTATAATTTATTATTATGCTATAAATAAATAATTTATTATTTTAAATTATTCATATAATAGTAATTTGAATTGTATACTTAATTATTTTTATTTAAAAATAAAAAATATTTATATTATATGAAAAATAATATAATATATAATGATAATAAAATATTTGTCCAATTTAATATTAAACTTCCTATCAAAAATAATTTTTGTTAAAAAATAACATAATATAAATAATTATTATATATAAAAATTACTTTATCATATTAATAAATAAAGATAATTTTAAGTAAATAAGTATACGGAAATAATATATTTATTGATATAAATGTGTGTGGTGTTAAATATTATATATTTAATTTATAATTAAAGACTAAGCATCTTTTTTAGCTCAAATACCGGCAAGTAGATGGATACAAAGACACTACAGAAATGTGAGGTTGTGAGTTCTAGCTAAGTTATTTAAAGTGAATATATAATATGGTAGTGACAAGTGACATAGCAATGATGTGGCAATGACATGGTGATAAGGCGGCATAGGATTCATTGGTTGACATGGCAATGGTAATTTATTGATGGACCTAAGATGGATTAATGATAGAATGTATTTTGTTACAATGTTAAAATAGCTTGTCCTTGTATACTAATTCTATCACTAATTAGAAACGAAATTGCCATTTTGTCATTCCATTGCAAATGAGCTAGTGATGATGTTTTTATCAATGGATTTATTCTATTACTAACCCATTTAGTGACAGAATTTGTCTTGATTGACAACAGAAAATTCTGTCACTTATCCAGTGTTTCTTTGTAGTGATAGTAGATAGTTTGTTATTTGGTCCACTAGCACTGTTTGAAAGATTTGGTAACTCAGCGTGGGAAATGAATCAAGACATTATATTGAAGCTCAAGTGTGCTACGCGAAAGACAAGAACAATAACCAAGTGTCTAGGAGGCAGCACAAGTGAAACTCATACTCATCAATAGTGCGTTATTTGAAGGACATGAGGACTCATATTTAGTTTCCCTTAAGTTGAATAGCACGCTAAGTAGAAATTTAGGCGCTAACGTGGACGGAAGAGGGGGAATTAAGGATGACACACACTAGAGTGATATCTGATGGATAGTACACTAAAGGACTAGAAGCTCGAAATATAAGGCTTATTTAGTTTCTGTTCTTATTTTTTATTTTTTAAAATTATTTTGTAATATAGTTTTTAAAATTATTTTTCAAAACAAAACAAAAGACTTTGTTTGATTGTGTTAATTTAAAATTAATTTTAGGATTTAAAAATCAGCTGATAATAATAGTTACTGGCGATTAATAGTAGTAACTTATGATAATCATTAGTTAAGGTAGTTGTAGTTTCTAATAATTAAATGTAGCATACTTGAAAACAAGAAAATTAAAATGGAAACAATTTTAAGTTGTTTCTATTTTTTGTTTTAAAAAATAAAAAATAAAAATAGTTTTGAAAATAATTAGATTCAAAACATACTTATTCAAACAAGTTTTTAATTTTTTTAACCAAAAAAAAAAACCATTTTTAAAAATAAAAACCAAATATGCCCTAAGTCTTCATCTTGTGCAAACTATTAATTTAATTATTTTGTATCTTCAAGATTTTCTTTAAGTACTGCAAAAAAAAAAAAAAAGGTAACTCATGGATTTGTTATCGTCTAAACAAGTGAATGGTGATCCAACAATTTTCCTCATATGTAAGATTCAAATTTAAATTAGCAAACAATTATTTAAAATAGTTACCATTGATAATGATCTATTTTTAAAAAAAAAATTATACTCAAAATATGGATCTGCAATGTCAAATTTTAACGATCTACTGTTGCAGCATGAACGTGAATAGACATCCATTTGCAAATTTAATTAATAAACAGAAAAAATAATTATTTTGATATCATTATATCTCTTGGTGAACAGAATATGCATATCAAGACCTTTTGCAGTACATATATCAAGTGGCAATGCAAATTAATTTTACAAACATAAGAATCACATTACATCAGATCAGACATCTCACCCTGTAACAAATAAACTAAGTCACAATACAAATTAATGGTATTTATTTATTTAAGGGCAGGCTGTTTAAGACGATGCATATAATAAATATGATCTAAAAGACCTTCAATTCCCTGCAACAAGAATTAAAAAAAAAAAACAAGAGCCATCATCTCTGAATAATATTATTTTAAAATGTTTTTTGTACACAACTTTAAAATGTTTCAGCAGACTGTCTTGTTTTCATTAGGAGATATATTAGTTTGATTCCATCTAAAATATTAGGAGGGGTTTTTAATGACATCGTTTTCAATATTAACTTATATAATATATCCATCAAAAGCTTAAAAAAAAAACACTTGTATATATATAATCAATATGCTTGATAAAACAGAGCATATGAAAACCATAGTCAACTCATTCAAATCTGAATTTGGAGGGGGGAAAACGGAATGAGTAGTAGTGGCTATTAGGTATAGTTATAAAATTTGAAAAATAATCTCCATCTAAATGCAAAGAGTTAAAGTAAATTTGACACAAAAAAAGGTTAAAGTAGTAAATTGAATTATATATATATATACACCTTAAAATTCCTTATATAATTGATCAATCCAACCCTTACTATCAATCAATACCAACATGAACAGGAAAATAATTTCTCCCCAGATTCATGTAGTTTCTTTTTATATTTTTCTTTCTTTCCTTTTTTTTCATAATTTTTACAACTCAAGAGTCGTATAATTAAAGAATTGATTATATATATTACCTTTGCATTGTGGAGGAGCGGTGACACCACACTTAGCAGGCAAAGCGATAGCCTTGTTGGGGTCAATCCCAAGTGCAAGAAGCACAGACTTGTACTTGCAAAGGCACGCCAGATTAGCATGCCGGCCAACTGCGCAACATGCCTTTGTTGGCGGCGGCGGGTGCTGGCCGGTGATTGCTGGACGACACAAGCTCAGCTTCGTCGCGTCTGTATTGCATAACACAACCCCTTCAACTATTCCACCCAGTAACCCTACCACCACGAATACAGCCACTGCCACCACACACTGCACCAAGGGTCTGAAACTCGGAATTTGATTGCCATGTTCTTATTAAGATGTTGAGGTTGAAAATGGATCTAGTTATTATACTCACACACATTGTGTGCATGCGTGGAAATAATTTGAGACTTCAATTTTGACCTTTCAAAATGATACTTTGGTGCAGTGCAATGAACCGTCTTGGTCACCAATCAATCAATCATGGCCAGTGACTGAAATTAAACATCAACATTCGTGAATGGAGAGGAAGTTTCTTATGAGTCTGGATCTACGTTTCATATTATATATATATATATATATATAACACAAACAAGTAGTAGTTATACCAAACAATTATGACTTTGCATGGGATTTACATTTATAATTATATATATTCAATTTTTTTAAAATCTTCCTTGGATGGGCGAGGTTTCTTTTTTATATTAATTTTTTTATATTTAAGACGTTTAACATCTTTTTATGAATCATTAATCATAAAATCATTTTTATTTTCCATTTTATTCCTATTAAAATAATGATTTTCCAATTAATTTAAAATAAAATATAAATTACTCAAATGTAATTTAAAGGGTCTAATTAGTTAAAATATGATATGCACATTCTAAAAGAATTCTTGTGTCCTTATTACAAGGCACTTGATGAAATATTAATTGCATTTTTTTAATATTACTCCTATTTAAACTCATTAACTATGAGAAATAATATAATATAAATTTGAAAATTTTTTATTTAAATAGGGATAAAATTGAAAGTATATTATATTTTAGGATAAAATTAATGACTTAATCATCCTTCCTTAATTCTAGTGAGGTAATTAAAAATTTCATATAATAAATATCAGAGAAAATATATGGTAAACATAATATTCAGAGTATATTCTCTAAATCATAATAGAACCAAAGTGGTTCTATTCTCTTAGTCAATGTAGTGGGGCTTGAGAAGTATGAAGTTAGGTCACAAGTATAGTTTTGATAAGTCTGGATAAAATTATGTTAAATGTAGAAAAAAAGTATGTGTATATCCCATGGAGTAAACTTATTAAATAAGTTTGGCGACATTCAAAAACTATAGCCATATATCTTAAGACTTGATTATAATTTAAAATTAGATTGAAAAGATCATAATGCCCCTATAAAAATGCATTGCATATATCAATCAAGTAATTTATAACTAACTCATTAGTAATTTATAATTATTAATTTAATTTTATATATTAAATATTTAAATTGATTATATGCTATGTAACATCCTAATTTTAATTTTAGGATTTAAGAAACATTAAAAAATAAAAATTTCAAGGTAAATGAAAATTACCATGTAATTACTTGAATAAATAAAATTTACTCTAATGGGTTAAATTTTTGCAAACTTAATTTTTAAGTCATATTTTTTACAAAAGGAAGAATTATTTAAAGTATTTTTTAAAATTAACATGTCATAAATATTTAAATCTTATGAATATTTTATTTGAATAAAATACACAAATTTAATTCAATCCTTTAAATTTTGAAGAATATATATATTATAGATGGAATTTTAAAGAAATTAGAATAGGAAGAAAAGAAAATAATGAAGAGGTGTTTTTAAAAACAAAAAACAAAAAAGATTGGGGGGTTGGATTGAGACCGATAGCCCATTAGTCATGCCACGTAACATTAGACGGCAAACAATTTCACCCCCTCCCACATTTCATTTTCCGAAACGGACAGAGAGGAGAGAAATCGAGAGCTTTCACACGAAACAGGGCGTGCGTTCGGCTGAGGGAGATTTCAAAATTCAAAGGGCTTTATTATATGATACCTTCAGAATGTTTTAAAGTTTTTTAACAGTAGATAAGCACTTTAAATATTTTTTAACTATATTTTCTGTTTGATATTATAAAATATTTATGAGTATTTTAAAAAGAATTATTATAAATTAATAATATTAAATACTATTTAAATAAATTTATGTTGTAACATATATATTAAACCCTATTATTACATGAAACTATTTTTTAATTTTGTTTAATGTGTTTTTATTGTCCAATTTTATATATATCTGCCTATAAAAGGCAATACTTGCCACATGTATTCTAAAGAGCCTCTAAAACGAGCTTTCTCTCCTCCTCTATCTCATTGCTTTATTAGTGTTAATATTACTTGAGTTATTTTGCAAATTTTCATTATTCTGCGTCCCTGTTCATTTTTCAAGAAGAGTCTGTTTAATTCTTGAAAGTTACTATACAATTAATTTAGTATGATGGAATAACTCTTAAGGACAATATCCTTGAGCATAACTTAGAGTATAATTTTACCTGCTGGTACCAAAAATTTTAAGAGCTGTTTTTTTTTTCAGCTTATTAATGTTTTTGAGTTTTTCCACCAGTATTTCATTCAACAATGGAAACAAGATAAGTTTATCTTATGATTTTGCTTTATTTAATTTTCATATGTATTTTAGAAATCACATCTGTACGTGGATCCAAAATGCTTCTCGCCTTTGTGTTCTTCTTTTTTTTTAGAGAGATAAGAAAGGAACATTATGAGTGAGGATAACATGATTAGCAGAGGTTGTTCAATTGTTATTGGAAGAAAATCTTAATTATTTGTGGTAATATTAATTGTTCTTGTAAGGAAATGGATCGGAGTTATGATTAAATTGAAAGAAGACATCTATTCAATATTTGTAACGTCCTAAGTTTTTTCATTTATAATTATCAATGTTCTCAAGGAGTAATTTGATCAATTTAGATAAATTGTCAATTTAGCGAGGTTTATGAGAGACTAATATGATTTTTGAATTCTTAGATAGCCTTAGAAGAAGAGGGTTAGGTTGATGTTCAAGTGGGCTATGGCACAAAAGAGAGTTTAAAATTTTGTAAAATTTTCTATCTCATGAGCTGCGGCAGGCGTGTCAATGTGCCGCGACACATGTGCAAAATTTACACTTATTAGACATGAAAAACAAATCAAAAATAGAAGAAAGAAAGAGAGATAACGAGAGAGCGATGGAGAAGAGCTTATAGTCTACTAGGGCACGATCCCTAGGCTATTTTGGAGGCATTTGAAACTTGGATCACCATTGGGTAAGTTGTACATTCCTTCTTTTCTCTCTTTTATGTGAAAATCTAGATTTGTGGGGCAATAGGAGCTTTAATTTTGGTTCCCTTGGGTTTAGACTGAACCTATTGGTTTATTTAAGGTCTTAGTGTAACACCCTAATTTTTTTTAAAAAAAAATAATTTAACTCAACTATAGTAGAAAAGTGTCTACCATGGTAAACAAAAGTCAACTTATCCTATATTTTTTTAAAACAATTCTATAATTTAAAACACTACCATGATAGAAAAGATTAAACCCTTTTTTAAATAATACAAAATAATTTTATACAACTAATATACATTTACAACTATAGTTGGGTTACAGCCACCCAACACATTTTTTATATCAATAAATTCAATGTAAAATATTTTATAATTGGGTTAAGCTTGCACAATAGAACATCTCGAATAAATTTTTACTTCCTACATGTCATTAGGCTTAAATCACATTTTTTATCCTTATACTCCCAACAAGTGCAAACCATAGACTAATAACTAACAACTTAATCAATTTTCAAAACAAGACAATTATTTGGCTTTATAATCATGCCATTTCAAACCATCCAAAATAAATTAGAGATTAAAGTTATAGTTATCCAAAGTGTATCAAAAGTAAAAATAGTTTAAAGGACATGATTACATCATTACATTTATATAATTGTCAATAAACAAAAGCCCTAGTATTGGCAATATAATACATTAAAAATCATAAATCAAATACCTAAAAGAGACAATGGATCTATGTCACTAAACCTCAGGGACTCCTCACGCATCACTCGTGGCTCTTCTCCTGAAAATTGTTCACCACATAATGAGACTCAAAAGTCTCAGTAACTAATGCTAATTTATGATAATGTATACAGACAGTTAAATGTGTGCTTGTTAAGTGGAGAAACAACAATAATATAATTCTAACAAAATACATGAAATATTACAATGCATAATAAATAACTATGCTTATCCCCCTCTATTAACCTCGAGCCGTAACTCTCAGTTAATGCTAAATTACCTGGCTAAAGGTATATTAGCCCGAGTCCTTACAAGCCACTTGTTGAGCTCCAATAGGGCGTACCATGTGGCACATAAATACAACAACAATAACAAGTCTCCTAACACCTCCCATACTAATCAAACAAATTCATAACAATATTGTACAATTATATAATATTACAATCTTCACAATTTTTTTTCATTTTCAACAATATTACAATATAACATCCCACTTGGAAAAAATAATTCAAAATGCCTATCCACAATTTCACAATTTTTTCATAAATATAACAAAGTAATTTCTCAACAACAATTCATAATTTTCTCAATAATCAGCCATTTAATATGAAGCAACACTAATCACAAATTAAAAGCATGATTAACTTGTGGCTTTTTCAATAAATTATTCTTGACAATTTCTCTCCCATCACAATTTTCACCAACAACACAATCTACAAATAACATATTATTTATAAATACTAGTTTCAATTATTGAAACTAATAAAATAACTCTAATAATAGGATTAGAAAAAACAACATAATTTTTAATCTCAATCTTAATACAAATTTAGAGTTAGTACTATTAAATAAAATTTCTAACTCCTCTTTTAGTCATCAATAAATATTAATAAGCTAAAATCAACCTCTAAACCAATTCCTATTATCAAAATTTTCCTTTTTATTTCATAAATTCGCATCTAAAACACTCCAAAAATTAGAAATTGAGTCTCAAGCTTAGAATCATCATCCTATAGCCATAATAATCCATTCCTCATCTCAAATAATCATCTAAACCTCAATAAATAAACATATATTTTCAAATTTAATAAAAATTTAGCCTAGGGTTTGATCCATAAACCTCAAATTGAAAGCCGACTAACAAATTTATACTCTAGAATATTTATTATACTACTAACAACATCAAAAATCACATTTATTCAACAAAAATTCATCCCTCTTTCAAATCCTAAATTTTCTACCACCACAAAATCTGAAACTAAAGAGGAAGGATGGTTAAGGAAAAATTTTAGAACACTTATTTAATTTTAAAAAATTTAAAATCACACTCTAAATATTTTATTAAAAACTCTTACATTTAAAACTCAGATCTCTCGCACCGACGACTCGCGCTCTCTCTGCTCGTGCACAAGGAAAAGCAGTAAACAGACGAAGGAAAAAGGGGTGTGGGTTTTTAAAAAACAAAACTGTTGGTCCCTCTCTTTTTTTTCCTTTCCTTTGTTATATATATATATATGTATATATATATGTATGTACACATGTACATCACACTGCGCACACGGAACCGGCCCCCACCTTTATTCTTTTTTAACATATATATGTGTTTGTACATTACACAGCACGCAGAAAAACATCCGCCCCTCCATTCTATTTTTTTTTTTATTTAATTCCTCCATTCTTTTTTTAAATTGGAATGTTATACTTAGGGAGATAAATCAAGCCTTTAACCTTCAGTTTATAAGTTTTGTGGTGATTAGAAATTTTTGATAAGGGTTTAGACAAACCCTAAGTATGATTCGAGGATTTTGAGACAACGTGAAACTTTAGTTAGTGAATTTGGTGTGTTAGAATATTTAATTGGATGATTAGAGTATTTGGGAATGGTTGGTGTTGAGAGAAAAGGGAATTGGGTGTTATAGACACTTAGAACCTAGTGAATTCGAAGTTAACCAAAGTGATAATTGATGATTATCACTTGATTATATAGATTGAGCATTGCTCGAGCTTTCTCGTGCGTATAGAACACATGGAGCTAACATTGAGCCATGATAACCCTTTTTGTGTGACAAAGAGTTGAGATAATCATATAGTTTATTGTGTTTATTAACTATTATAACTGTGTAAAAGTAAACACAAATAATAAAGTTATGGTTTTGATGAGTTTTGTACATAATTTGATATTGTAAATGATTTTAGCATGAAAATCAATTTGTAAGAAGTTATTGATTTTAATTCATATGTATATACTATGTATATAAATTTGTGATGTGGAATGTGATGAAAAGTAGTGAAAATCATGAAAGAGCATGATCATAAAGGGTGAAAGTTCACCCGAGATATGTGGGGGATATGTGTGTATGGATATATGTGAGTGAAAAATCCATATGGTCAGGCTAGCACTATAGGACATCCGGTGTAGCATTATATGGGACTGTTACCACAGGACATTCAGGCAGTTTGAGAACTCTTAGTACCCATTAGGGTACAGTTAGGAGTCAACAACACCTCTATCATAACTATGTGAAGAGAAAACAAAAATCATAGTCTGTAAGTGAGTTAGATTACCTTTGGCCGGGTGTTTCTACTACCAAAAGTGTGCTCAGGTCAACAAGTGGTTGATTCAGGAAAGCCTATGGTTTCATATCAAGGAGCATTACAGATTTAGTGGTTAAATGATCATGCTAGTATTAAATTATGTGTTTTATTGTGAAAAGATGTACTTATCTCATAAATATGGTATACTTGAAATTACTTTAGTTTTGATACTTTATCATGGTTATTTGTGGTAATAAGCATTTGATAAACTATATTGATTACTGAGATGTTTATCTTACCTTGTGGTTATATTTTATAGGTGAGAGCTTCGGTAGAGGCAAGGGGAAAGAAAGGACGTTTGAAGAGTGAAGAGTGTCATTGTATAGCTCTTTCCTTTCTTCTTTAGGTATTGTAACGAATATTGTCAATGCATATATATAATGCCAACTTAGGTACATGACATTATTTTGGATGTCACTTGTATGAATTTGTTATAAGTTTACGTATCTTGGTCCAAGGATAATGTATGAATTATGTGTGTGTGTTGGGCCAAGTTGTAATTATAAGTGATGAATTTGAAGTGAATTATATGCCTAAAATAACCAAGTTGATGTGTGTGCTAAATACAATCCACCCCTTTGTGTTATTGCCAAATGGGAGTTTGGTGGTCATTTTGAGCATGACTACTTATTTGTATGATATGAAGGAATTATTATGTTGTGTGTGGTCCATTTAAGGTAGTCAAAGTGTCTCTGGGGCTAATGGTATTTGGTATTATGAGTTGGACACCTTTGTGTGTGTTTTGTTGTGAAAATGAATCATTTTGAGTTCTAGTGTTTGTCCTTTTAATGGATGATTGATTGAGTAAGAAACTGGCACCATTAGCTAGAGGGCTCAAAGAGTTTCGTGTAGACATTTGAATCATCCAAATCAGACATCAGATAGCGAAACGATGTACTCTGAAAGTTCGATAGGTTGTCATGATAGTAGCTGTGCACTGTGACACATGGTTGTTGTGCTACGGTGCATGGTTGTTGCGTCGTGGCACATTAGGCCTTCGAGGGACTCGTCCCTCTATGCCATCCGCCGTGGCAGACGAACCAGAATTTTAGAATGGCATTTTTGGCCTAATTTTGACGTGATTTGTTTCTCATGCTTTCTTATTTGTTTTAAATTAATTTTTAATCATGATTTGAGCTCAAATAATATTTTAAAAAAGATTTTCTTGGAATCCCAATGATTTAAACTAATTATCTTTAAATCTTTGAGTTGTGGTAACTTAAGGGGATTTTATTTAATTCTGGTTACAACGATGTGTGAGTGTTGTCCTGATAATGTGAATATGGAGATTACAATGTTGATATAAAAGTTGATTGAGTTTTATTTTTGAACATATATGTTTCATTATTTATAAAAATTTGGAACAGTATAAGTGCTTAAGGCACAAGTACCTGGTTCATATGGGCAGCGGATCTGATGTTTTGGTGTGGGGCATGCAGGCAAGGCCATCCATGATTATTATAATCAGTGGTGTGTTTTTACGCTGTCCTATAACCAAATTCACTCCAACCTTGTGCCATGCATTTGACATATGGCGAAACCTCTCAAATATGAGACAAGTTATATTCTCAAATATGTTTCCTATTTTATTATGAGAAATATGATGATTAAATAGAGAAGCCTTGGGGTGTGTTCAAATATGATGGCTGAGTAAAATAAAATAAAAATAAATAATCGTTAAGATGATTTTTAACTTTTGCTTGTTTCCAGCTTTCGGTTTTGCCGTTTCTCCTTTGTTGCTCTTGTAATTAGTCCATGTTTCTTCCTTGTTAGCTTTTCACTGCACCTAGTTCGGGATGGCTTTTGAGTTCAATAATATTGATGTGGTTTAGACCCCCACACAAAGATATATATTGTTTTCTAGTTATATCCAAGCGTTAGGTATATCATGTATGTATTCAAGGTTTTTGAGCAACAGAAGATGCTGGACGTCTCTTGAAGAGTTATCAATAATCATGACTTATGCAAGTGCCCATTTCAATTCTCTTTTGGCATTCATAGTTTCTTAATAATTTTTGGGTGTTGTGGATTGTTTATGAAGTGGCATAATAAACTTTCAATTTTATAAATATTGAGGCTAATAAAATGGAAAATATTTATAGATTAAGTCTCAACATATATACTTTAAATTTTAAAATGATTATTGGCTAAAAACATTATTTTGGAGTTTCAAAAATTAATGCTGGTATTAATAGATTTGTTATGATATCAGTAAAAGAAAGGCATGGTTGTCATTTGGCACCTAATTAATCAATGATAATAATTGATTACATTTAAATCATTCCCATGTTAGTTGTGTGAAAAGTTGGGATTAAAGCTTGATGCTTTGTTTACATAAATTGGTAGGAGTTGCAATTTTCTACAGTAATATATTTAGTATATGCCAATTGGTGTGAAACATTTTTTTGTGAATTGAATATTTATAATTAACAGATGTTATTTACAAATGGAGATTTTGACTCTCTAGGTATGATACCAGTCAATTATTTAGACATGAATGTGGCATTTATTGTATTTTAAAAGTGAATGAAATATTGTAAAGTGGTTACACAACAATTTCCAACGCTTAATAATGTTTTGTCTAAAGCATAAGTGATATCTTACAATTCATTGTAAGAGTATATTTTGGGCATTAAGTAGCATCAACGATTTGGTGCGTGTGTATATTATTGTTATGATTATGAGAGATCACATGTTTGCTTGCACAATTGTGCTGCTTTATGGATGTTGCCCAAAAATGTTTTGATCCATTCACAATTTTTAACATCTAAAATATGGGGGCTATGTGCATGGGTTTATGCATAGTGAATTTAAATTATGAGAAATTTTAATTTAATTAGAATAGGAGGAAATTGTATGGTGAAATTCTAATTTAATTAAAATCATTATTGACAAGGTATGAAATATTTTTTATGTGATTGAAATATTTAAAAGTATACAAGTATTAGCCTCATTTTATAAATGCCAAGATGTTTTTGTGTTGTGATTTGGAGAAGTAAGGTTTTTTGATTATGAAATTTTGTATTGCTTGAAATAAGCATTATGATGGTGGCATAAAATTTAATCATTTATCTAGTGTAGATAAATGTATTTTAAAATAGGTGGGTGACCTAGTTCATTATCTTGGTATAAGTATTTATTATTGTAAGTAATGATTTGTTTATGTGTGTTATGGTCCCATGTAAAATAAATGAAATATTTTTTTATCATAGTTTTGTGAATAGTGAATTTCCCTGATATAAAATACACAAGTATTAATATAATTGTATAATCATACGAGAAAATCCATTGGCAATAAATCTACCTTAGGTGGTGATAAAAAAAACGTTGATAGGACCATAATGTAGTTAGAGTCATTACTCTTAAATTGGAAGTTGAGTTATAGAAAATCTTCTTAGCAATTATTTGGTGTAAAACCAACATTTAGCATCAATGAGCATTCACATGATGCTAACATGTTATTAGAAAAAATTAAAATAGGATGATTTTATAGCTCCATCTATATAAGTATGTACAAACTTTTGAAAGTTTGTTGCATTTATCAATGTTAATTTATAAATAGTTATGTTGCATGAAAATTAAGTATATCAAGTAGTCTTATAAAAGGATGAAACAAATGTTGGTATCACATATAATGAATTTCCATTGTATTAAAATAGTACAATGATATAAATTGAATTTCTATTCAGATGAGGAAAAAATCATTAATAGCCAAATACAATATTATGTGAGCCAAAATATATTAATCTAAAGTTGGCTAATAACAAGGCTAAATAGTTGAGAAATCTCTCAATGAATATTGTTTTAAGAGTAAAATCGACACATGCTATCTATGTCAATGTTTTGTGTAATCACCAAATGGCAATAGCCAAATGCCAAATGCCATAATAGCATAATTTGATACATGCGCCACGGTGCATAGTTGCAATACTATGGTGCATGGCACAAAAAACAAGCATGTGTGGCTCTATATCATATGCTGTAGTGCCTAACACATTTTTAGAAATTTGTTTGATTTTTCTAACATGTGGGTGTACATTTACGCTTCCATGAGCCTTTTGTTGGTAAACTTTCAACTTATGTTTGACGTGTTTTCAAATAAAATCGAGATCACACATTTTAAAAACAATTTAAGAGCTTATATCCTTGTTATTATGTTATAATTATAATGTAAGGTATAGATGTGTAAGTAAAGTCTAAGATGAAAAATAGAATTTTACAAAAATAGTTAGAACATTCCCACAATTGTAATCGAAGTTTAATTATTCAAAACAATTAAAACATTTCCACACTTGTTTTAGAACCTTCAAAATCTATGTTAAAGGATTCAAAAGAACATTCTCACATTTGTAATCAAATTTAAAGGATTAAAAAAGGTTAGAACATTCCAACATTTAATATTAAAGTTAAAATATCCAAAACAATCAAAACATTTTCACATTTGCCATTAAAGTTAAATGATCCAAAACAGTCAGAACATTTTCACATTTGTTTACGAAATGTCAAACTCTAGGTTAAAGGGTCTAAAATAACATTTCACATTTGTAATAGAAGATAAAAGATTCAAAATAATCAAAACATTCTCACATTTCAAATCAAAGTTAAAAGATCCAAAATAATTCAAATATTTTCACATTTGTAATCAAAGTTAAATGATCCAAAATGATTAGAACATTCTTACATTTTTTTTGAATCATCAAAATCTATGTTAAAAGGTCTAAAAGAACATTCCCACATTTGTAATCAAATTTAAAGGATCCAAAAAGGTTAGGACATTCCAACATTTAAAATTAAAGCTAAAAGATCCAAATCGATCATGACATTTCTATATTAGTAATTGAAATTAAATGATCCAAAACGATTGCAATATTCCCATATTTATTTAAGGACTATCAAAATAGGATAAAAGGTCAAAAATAACATTCCCACATGTGTAATAAAATTTAAAAGATCCAAAAAGGTTAGTACATTCCCACATTTGAAATCACAATTAAAGGATCCAAAATGAACAAACTATTTTCACAGTTGTAATTGATGTTAAATGATCTAAAAAGGACAAAACATTACTACATTTGTTTATGAATTGTCAAAATCTATGTCAAAGGATCCAAAACAATATTCCCACATCTATTATCAAAGTTAAATGATTCAAAACAATTTGAACATTCCAACATTTGTAATCCAAATTAAATGATCTAAACTACTAGATATTCCCTAATATATAATCCAACTTAAGGAGTCTAAAACATTCCCATATTTGTATGGGAACCATAGAAATTGAAGTTAAAATATATATAAAAAAATATTCCCACATTTATAATCAAAGTTAAAAGATCTAAAGTTGTCAGAACATTCCCACATTTGTAATAAAATTTAAAAGATTCAAAAAGGTTAGCACATTCTCACATTTAAAATCAAAGATAAAGAATCCAAAATGATTAGAACATTCCCACATTTATAATTGAAATTAAAAAACCCAAAACAGGAAAAACATTTCCACATTTGAATTAAAGTTAAAGGATCCAAAATGATAAAAATATTTTCACATTTATAATCAAAGCTAAAAGATCCAAAATGGTCAAAACATTTTCACATTTGAATTAAAGTTAAAGAATCCAAAATGATAAAAACATTCTCCCATTTGTAATTAAAGTCAAAGGATCCAAAATGGTTAGAACATTCTCACATTTGCTTAAAAAAAATAAAAATTTATGGTAAAAAATCCAAAACAATATTATCACATTTGTTATCAAATTTAAAGAATTCAAAATGGTCTAAATATTCTAACATTTGTATTGAAAATTAAATGATCTAAATAATCAAATATTCCTAAATTTATAATCCAATTTAAAGAGTCCAAAAAAATCCCATATTTGTAATCTAAGTTAAATGATCTAAAATGATCAAAACATTCTCACATTTGTTTTAGAACCAACAAAATCTATGTTAAATGGTTTAAAACTATCACGCCCCAAAAATAGAGGGTGACCAGCACGAGTGCGAACTACATTGTGCATTCCCGTAAGCCTCAAAGTGAAAATTCATTTCATTTTGCTTTTAAATAATCAAGTCATGTGAAAGTTCTAACACTTTTAATACTAATTGTCAAAGCAAAACTTCAAAACTTTTATAAAAATTTTGACAAAACCTTCTCTGTAAATAAAGTCTCTTAAAAATTCTTTAAAATAAAAAAAATATTCCACAAAATATAATATCAATCAAGAACTTAGCTCCTTCCAGCTAGCAAACAATATATAAAACAAAACAAAGGCCTCGCAACAATCTATGTGAAGCAACTACTCTTTTCTCTAAATTAAAATACATAAGACTTAAATATTTACATTAAAAGGTAACAATACCAAGCAAAATTTCCACCCAATATTGCCCTTTTTTGAGGTCGGCGATAGGAGCAGCATCAACTAATAAATCTGAGACCAAAATAAATTTTCTAATGAACAGCATCCCCAAAACCGAATTTAAAAGAATTAAAATAATAAATTCAAATAATCGTGTAAATAATTGAAAAGATGATAATCCAACATAATAACTTCATAAATTTATAAATCATAATCATAATCATGAAAAGAGAGTAAATTAAAAACACTTTATTCTATCCTTGTTAAAGAAAACAAATTACTCGTACATAAATAAATAATAAAAAAAATACAATTGCTAATTGAAGCTATTGGAATTTCAAATCAATGAGTTTCCAAATTCAAATTTTTGAGAACTTAACAGAATAAGTAACAAACGTAGATACACAATCCACGAGGGTAAAGATAACCAAACGCAACTCATGCCACGAAAACAAACGTGGACGCACAGTCAACAAGGGTAAGGATAACCAAACGTGGCTCAAAGCCACGAAATCAAACGCAGGTACAAAGCCCACGAATACCAAACGTGAGAACAAAGCCCACGAGACAAACTAGCTAGTTATTAACCACAGCGCTACAGGCTAACGGAACTGCCGTTAACAACAGTGTTATGTCCAAAATCCTCTTAAAAATCACATTTCAAACATGCGAGAAAAATAATTATTTCTCCAATAAAATTTTCCATTCTCAATACCAAACTCACATGAATTGTTTCAAATCTCAAAATTTGACAAAATAATACTTCATAGCCAATGTACAGGCTAACATTAATTGAGTAACCAAGAAATTCTGGAGTTTAATAAGCAAGAATGCCTTCATCCATGTTAGAAATATATTTCTTGAGGAAAAATAAATGAACATATCATAATTCAATTATCCTTCTTCAATATTCCATAAAAAAATTAATATAATTAAGGAGAGTGAAATATTTCAGTAAAAGACTATTAAAAATAAAAATAAATTAAATGGAATGTTATCCACTTACCTGAAATCTCCAGAATTTAAATTTCTCCTCTCAACTTTAATCAAATTTCTCCACTTCCAAATTCCCTAGAATCATATTAAAATTTTATTTAACCCTCAACCAGTACAATAATTTCTTTTTCCAACTTCACTCACCTCCAATATTAAACTATAATACATTTAAATTTTCTTTTAAATCCCCACTAGCATTTGGTCAAAGCACCAAACATAAATCATTTCCAATCTCTTCATAAAAATGTTAGCATTCAATATTTCCTACACAACTATCCACCTTCAAAAATTTAAAAAAAATATCACATTATAAATTTCATAGACAAATATTCTTTGTAACATCTAAATTGAATTTCATACTTCTCACAAGAATTAATGAATCTCTATAAATATTCAAAAATCAAGTTCAATTTCTGCTAATAATCATTTCAACAACCATCTTATAGCCATCATTTCGCAAGTTGCATATCTCATCTCTTCTAACATAATCCTAACTAATTCTTCATTACCAACCAATTTAAACAAAATGAATTTAACTCAAAGGTTAGCCCATACATATATCATTACCAAGCTTTAAGTCATGTTTTTTTTAGCTCAAATTTGCACCTTCTTCTTCCTACAACACACGGACAGCAATAGCAGAACAAAAAGAATATTGCTGCACCCATACACACATAGCAACAGCAGCACAAACACACTCACACGTACAGCAAGCCAACAGATGGAAGGTCAAAAATTCCTCACCTCAACTTAGCTAGCCTGAACAGTGGCGAACCCAGAGAAAGAAGAAACGAACGTAATATTGAACGCTAAATAGGGGGGATATAAGCTGAATATTTTCACTACACCCAACAATAGAAGAAGACTGATTCAGCCATACTAATACGAGCTCACAGTAATAGCCCTCCAGCACTCGATACTTTGCAACTTTTTAGCTCAGAACAGCATGGACAGACAGCACTCAGAGAAGACGCAGAAACAGGGATCACATAAAGGAAGGGATAACGAGGCTTACTGTTGAACTTGGGAAGGAAGAACTCGTGAGAAGAACCTTCTAGCTTCAATGACTTGGTCCTTTACTCCACCTACAACTTCTACATGGACGACACAAGGAGAGCAGCGAATGAAGAAGGAAAAAAATAGAGGTGAGAGATACGCAGATGAACCTGAATGTTTCAGAGCAACCGTGAGCCCCCTCTGACATCGGTGACGGCAAGGAATGAAGAAGACAGAGATGAGCCGGTGATGGCAGGGGAACGAAGAGCAACAATCGCCCAACTCTCAATTCTTCTCGCACTCTCTTATACTCTGATAATCGACATTTTCCCAGTGAGGAGGAAAGGAAAACGAGAAAATTACATAGGGTGAGGAAGGGTATATTGGTAATTCTATAAAGTTAAAATTATAAAAATGGACCCCTTTGTTTATTTTTTTATTTATTTTACTTAAAATTCCTGGGTTATTACAAAAAAACATTCCCATATTTGTAATCAAATTTAAATGATTCAAAAAGGTTAGAACATTCCAACATTTAATATCAAAGTTAAAGGATCCAAAATGAATAGAATATTTTCACATTTGTAATGAAAATCAAATGATTCAAAATGATCAGAATATTTCCACATTTGTTTAGGAACCTTCAAAATCTATGTTAAAGGGTCTAAAATAACATTCTTACATTTGTAATGGAAAATAGGGGATCCAAAATGATCAAAACCTTCTCACATTTAAAATCAAAGTTAAAGATCCAAAATGATCCGAACAATGCTACATTTGTAATAGAAGCTAAATGATCCAAAACGATGAGAACATTCTCACATCTATTTAGGAACCGTCAAAATCTATGTTAAAGAGTCTAAAACAATATTCTCATATTTGTAATCGAATTTAAAAGATCTAAAAAAGTTAGAACATTCTAACATTTAATATCAAAGGTAAAGGATCTAAAATAAATAGAACATTTCCGTATTTATAATTGAAGTTAAATTATCTAAAACGGTCAAAACATTCCCACATTTGTTTAGAAACCATCAATAATAAATAATTAAACATGAATAAAAAGAAAATTAAAAACATAATGATCTCCATGAAGATTTAAATAAATTCGGAATAAAAGAATTTTACGTAACTTTAAATAAAATCATAATTCATTAAAGCATCTTATCAAATGTCATTATCATTTAACTTTAATAAAGCAAATAATTGCAATAACTAATTGTAAACATGTCATTAATCAAAACCAATAAAAATAGATCCATAAAAATTTAAAAAATCATAAGTATAGGGACTTATTAGAACAAGTAACAAATGTGGACATACAGTCTACGAGGATAAATTACCAAACGCGGTTTATGCCACGAAAACAAACGTGGACACTCAGTCCATAAGGGTAAGTAACCAGACGCAGCCGAAACCACGAAACAGACGTGGACACATAGTCCACGAAAGTAACTAACCAGATGTAGTCAAAGCCACGAAACAGACGCAGGTACAAGACCCACGAATAACAGATGTGAGAACAAAGCTCACGAAATCCAAACTAGCTAGTATTTGACCATGGCGCGCCAAGGGCTAACGAAACTGCCATTAGCAACTAGCGTTCTGTATACAGTCCCCTTTTTAAATTCAATTTCAGACATGCGAGAAAATCATCACTTTCAAAATACCATTTCTCTTTTAAAAATCTAACTCGCATGAAACATATAAAAGCACCAATATTTCTAAATATAAAAATTTACAATTAATATCTCATAAACTGTTCACAATTTTTTTTTTTTTTTGCTTTATCAAATAAAGCGCTATTAGAATTTAAGAAAGCATTTTTATCAATATAAAAAGTATAAGTCATGACTTCAAGAAGCAGAGCAATTTAATTAACAAAAGTAGCTAAAGCAAGAGAAATTTATAAATATCCATAACTTATTAAAAGCGATCTTTTGATAAAGAAAAATTTTCAATATATATTGATTGGGACGTTATCCACTTACCTGAAAGGTTTTAAAATATAATTTGCTTCCAATTTAATCTTCTGGCAATGATACTTGGCCTTTAATCTCCTAATGCCAAAATAATACTACAATCATTTTCTTATATATACTTTAGAACCCAAAATCTATAGTTCAATTTAATTCAAAAGATAAAGGTAGATAAATTTTAACTCCAACATTTTTTTTTTGCACCAATAATTTCATGTAAATTCTAAAGACTTACATATCAATAGCAAATTTTCCCACGAATTACCAAGCAAGATGCCTATTCTAAAAATCTCTAGTTTTACCTCAACTTCCTTATAAAAAGTCTTTTATAATATTTGGCTAACAACAAAATAACTATCATCGATAGAGATATATATATATATATATATTGCCATTATATGTTAGATTTTTTTCTAATAAGCATTTCACCAAATGCTTAACAAGCACTATTATTTAAACTATGGTACCAATTTCTCTTCTCTTCCAATTCCCTTTATACAATAGGAATTTATTAGACTTCCTGCAATTTCGTTAAACTTCCTTCTAACAATGACAATATAATTGATCCAAGTAATTTAAAATTTCCTAAGCATCATCATTTACTACAAGGTTTTCTCATATGACTTTGACCAAAGCTAAGCAGTTAAATGATAAGAAGATCCCCTCTCAAACCTTTCAACAAATACCTACCAAGCATCAATTCTTTGTTCTTTTAATGGAACTTTTTAACCCCAATCAATTGCCCAATAATGTATCAACATCAATAATTACATCAAGTTCAAATAAAATTCAAACCAACACTATCTTCTTCTTCTTCTTCTTCTTCTTTTGTTTTTTTTTTTCTTTATACTACAAATTTTAATTAAATCAGCTTCCTGTTCATACTCCAACACACACAGCAACGCAGAACAAGAAAATCCCATAGTTTCAGCCATCACAGCACACTCACGCACAGGAAGCCAACAATGAAAAATGAAATCGAAGTCCCTCACCTGAAGTAGCCACGACTCAAGCAGAGAAGAAGAACAAGAAAAGGGTTGGGGCTCAGACTAATAATGACGGAAGCTAGAGAAGGGGCTATTGCCGTTCGAATCAGGTAGAGATTGACGTTACTGGATACATGCGAAGTAGAGAAGACGGAGAAGAACACTGATAACCGTGACCCCTACAGCAGCACACCAACAGAGGAGAGGCAGGGGAAGCTGAATGAATCTCATATCAGAAAATAAATGAGAGAGCAACAGTAAAATAGCACCAGATTCTCACCGACACCGGTCTGAACTATGGAGGAATGAAAATTGTCGAAGAGAAGACAGGGAAAGCGTTCGAAGCTTCTAGCGACACCACCACCGACTGAAATGCACATGAGAACAGTAAAAATAGAGCAACAGTGGAGAAGAAAAATAGAGACAGAGAAGAATGAGGACGAACCTGGGCTTCGCACAGCGACAGTGACCTCACGGCAACTCGTCTGCCTCGTCAGCGATGGAAAGGAACGAAGAAGAAGGATCAGAGGTCGAGAATGGCAGAAGGTATAGAGGTCGCACGCAACGTCCAGATTTTTCTTTCCCTCTCTCTGTGATGCCCCACACGACTCAGCAAAGAGGAAGAAAAAAAAATTTATATCTGATAGGCTGAGGGCATTTGGTAATTTAGAGGTTAAAAATAAAGAAAATTAAAAAGAATAATTTCCAAATGCTTCAACAGGTTCGAACTCTGGATCTTATAAAATCACTCTTCCACTATGCCAACCCTTCCTCTTGTCATAATTGCACCAACATTAATATAATTACAACTAAATAAAAAATTAATATATATTTAATTTTTGCTTAAAATTTTTGGGTTACTACAGTTTTGTTGAAATTTTTACAAAAATTTTTACTTTATTATAACGACCAATATCAAAAATATTAAAATTTTAATATAAATTTGATTATATTTTAAACATAGAATAAATTTAAGGTTAGAGGCTCGCAGAGATATGTTATATGATTCACATCCCGTGCCGATCACGTTAAAATTTTAGGACGTGACAACAGTATTATTTTTTAGATTTGTTATATAGAGACGTATTTAAAATTTTATACGCTTTTATTTTTGACATTTTTTTGCATTGGTGTTGATAAAATTAGTAGAAATAATTTATAAAGAAAACAAGAAAACTACATTTTTCATTAGAAAAGAATATGCCAAGTTTGACTGTAGGTAAATAAAGCATCAATCTTACATTGCTTGAAAGTAGAATCGAGACCACTTACCTGTAATCAATGATTGCCACTATAATGTCTCTTTCTGCCAATTGCAGTCCCAAAAAGGACCTCAGGCTTTATACCTAAATCATTACGAAAACGAAAAAATTGAACTTTTAATCTCACTATGCTTTCACTAATTATTTTCCTCAAAAGAATGTGATGAACTATTCAAACTTACAGCTACATCAACCAAGTCCTACTAGTTAGTGTCTATTTTTAAAATTAATTTCGAAACTACAGGTTAGAGGGTATGCTTCCTGATTAAAGTAGCGATATAAAGTGACAAGTTAAACTAAGTTGTCTCATCTCATGTATACACAAGTTAATATCACTTCCAATCGTGCTCATACTCAATGCCATTCAGATGTGTTCATTTAAAGCACAAACAATATGTTTGCCACTTTAGAAGATACCCAGAATTTTCAAGTGAAGATAAAACTTTGATATGTGAAACACTGTTTGAAGCTTTGTTTCTATCATAAAGCTAGGTCCACAATACAAGCCTCCCATTTCCAACCAATTGGAAGCCCTTCCAACATGAATCTCTAACAAGGAATTTATCATAGAAACAAAGCTTTAATGTTATGAAACAGGAGACTAGAAAGGGGGAGGGAGAGATAGAAGGAAAAGTGGGAGGAAATAGAGAGAAAATTAAGTGAGAACTGTAACACATCACTAACTGGAGTAGAACTCCTCTCTATAGTGGGCAGCAGTCTGCTATTTAAATGACAAAAATGCTTAACACGAAAGGAATTACAAAGCCTTATTATGCTCAAAAATTAAAGTTGTGAAGTAAACTAACTAATGAATTGAAGCAACATCATGTCTATCTCAAATTACTCACCCAATAATCCATGCTCCCCTGGTTACAAATATCAAAACTGGTTTAGGTTCACAAATATTAGTAGGTGAATCGAGATCCATCCTGCAAAACCACCATTTGAAACCAGAATACTAGGCATTCAATAAATAACATGAGTCACAGGATATAAAGAAATATTTTTAAAAAACTTAACAAATTGTGTATTTAATTTACCTGTTTCTCAGCATATTTCCATAAATAACACTCCGCTTTACTCGCTTTGAGAATAAATAATAATATGCAACTGTGGGGATCACCAAAAAAAAAAGTACTGCATTCCACGAATGCGGTGATGTCGCTACTTACCGGTTACAACCATTTATGAAACACTTTTTAACAAAATGACTAGCTTTCATCCCCTTCCCAAGAAGAAGAAATTATAGCTTGAAGTATAGGAGGAGAATTAAATATCAAGATGGCCAACATGATAACCAATACAAAATAAAGTAAATTTATTATTATATCACCAACTATTTTAAATGAACAGGAGCTAGATTGAAGGAATAAGTTATAAGTAGTCAAAAAGTGCCCAAGAAGAAAGGTTTAGAAACAAAGAAACCATTCATCAAAAAACCAAAAAAAAAAATTGAAACAAAGAAACAAGAATTATGGTTTAGAATCAAAGAAACCATTCATCAAAAAGTGCACAAAAGTTGCATTAAAAATGCATTGTAGATTATTCCTTTATAGAAAAACAGAATATTAGACCAAAAAATGAATTCATCTGACTAAGGACTCCCTAAAGAATCTACATTCTTAAGATGCCAGCCTAACACCAGCTCTAGCTAATGTATTGCAGGCTTTTCACAAAAAAGATCTCTTCTCAATTACTGCACAACATTTTGATATGATCCTTCAATCGGATTACCCAGCATAAAACAATACCTGGGCTCACCTTCTTAACAATCAATATCATGATTAAGCATAACGTTATACACCATATCTGGTTATGGACATGACTTACAACTCGCTACTATGCCTACTGTTGAAAACAGGAATCAGTGACAAATGGAAAAAAAAATGAAAGATAGAAATTAATTAAAACTAAAGAAAGAATTAAACCACAAAGAAAGTTATAATAGATATAATAGCAGCACTGACTCTTTTCAGCAGAAAATTCAAGAAGTTGCACCACGTAATTTTATTCCCTTTTTTATATCTCTTGCCAACACGTATAGAATGTCTGAACAGATTCTACGAAGCACAAAAACATCAGTAAAGGAGTCATCTTTAACGCCCCCCCCCCCCGGGGGGGGTGTCAAAGAACAAGTTTACGATGCATCAGTGAAATAGCGATTGGACAGATTAAATTTGGTTACAACGCCATACCCTGTCCAAATTTGGCTTATTCTTCACTTTTCCAATTTCAAAATTCAAAATTTCTGGAAGGGATACATTAAATATGAACAGTGAGTTCATTGTTATTGATAGCAGACCTTTCAACAAATTCTTTACTTATGATATATAGCCATTCAAAGAAATTTGTGTAGCAAAATTACACCTATAAATCTCAGGTTTTCCTACATGAATGATTCAAAAATAAATAATCAATAATAAATAAAGTATAGATATGAAATCTGAAGCAAATAAACAAAAAAAATAAAGTACCATCCTCATCAAATCCAGGTTAAAAAAAAAATCTTTGTCAAATCCAATAGGGGTAATTTGAATGAGCATAACTACAGAATGATCATGTTTAATATGAACTATGAAGAGACATTCCAATGCTAACAACAAAATCACCGTAAAGCACACATGAAATATAGAAGGGGTTTTGGAGATTCCCTCCCCTCCCTCCAACCATACAACGGGTACGCCTTTTGTTTTCTCTTCCTCCCCTTTGACTTTCGTTCAGATTCGCCGCCACTGCACCGGTCGGTTTTCGTTTCTCCTTTTTTCTCTTCCTCTCACCCTTCTCTTCTCTCCTATAGCTGTGTCTTCTGGATTCCAAGCTTCCTCTGGCTCAGCTTGTGTCTTTCATCCTCCATTCAGATTCAAATGCAGATGTCGTCGCACGCTTCATTCTTCGTGCCTGTCGGCCATTTTCAGGTGACTCCAGATTTACTAAGTGATTTTGACTTCTGGGTTCTCCGATTTGATGAGATTAGTTTGCATTATGAGTTCTACATTTTTAAATGTTCCTCTGTTATTTTTATTTTTTAAGCTTACGATGATCTGGTACTCTTCATTATCCTCTCATGGGCTCGTTTTTTCTCTCGTTACCAGCTGCTGTCAACATCTTCTTCAACAGATGGTTCGCATCACTATCACGTTGCTTCGCTGCATGACCGATGCCTTGCATCTCTGGACCATGGGCAAGCTCCGTTTTGAAAGTGGTCGTCAACACTAGCCATCGCTTGGCAGCTCTTCGCTATCTCAGGTCAAGGTTGGCTTCTTCTTCAACCTTTGTCATCCTCTCTCTACCTCAGGTTACCATCTCTGTCTCCTCCTTAATTTTTTCTGTTACAGTAAACAATTTTCTCGGACTAAATTTTCTCAACTATTGCATTGCCAACATCTTTAGGTAAGGTTCTTGGATTTTATCGGTTGAACAATTAGGGTAGTTTCTGGGAGGTGGTTTTTTTAGTTAAATCATGTATGTATCGTGAGTGCGTCCGCTGTTTTATGGGTTTTGGATAACATTTTTAAGTTCAATCTTGAATTCCAGCTGCATTTTCCGGCAGAATGAAGTGTTGAGGATTTTACTGCTATTTCCAATATTTGGCTTTCTGATAGTTCATCTACCTATATATGTTGATATGAACTTTTTAGCTCTTCCATAAATGACAATATTCAAAAAGATTGAGGGGACTACCGCATGCGGTTAATGTTGAGGACATAAACACTATGAGAAGAGATATGAAATTAGTGACTAAAAGGCATCCCTCATTTTCATCGGATTGACCTTGATCATGGATAAGACCTGGATGAATTGAAAAATTCTAATTTCAATTATCTCGGTACAGCTTTTATTTGTGACTTTTTGAATTTAGTTCCATTTATCTTCTTCCCGTTTCAAGGATATTTTGTCCTCTGGAACGTGTCATTTCAAATTGATAGACAATAATTGCGATGATCCATGTACCATATAATTGTCACAGATGATGTGTATATGAAGGTTTAATCATCAGTCATTATCAGTACAATTTGGTAGTTAGTTAAATGTGAGACATGGTTCCGTAATTAGCAGTGCAATTTTTTAATTCATTATGCTTCCAGAGCTTGAAAATGTAAGAAGTCTACAGATGATGTATGCGGTAAATAAAGCTGATTGAACCAATTTTATGGCTGGTATTCTCTTGGTTATGCGTATTTACTGTCAACTTGCATCATGGAAATTTCTGTTAAGAAATTTTACCAAGAGATGCTTAGTAAAATCATCTCCTGTGAAGCTGCAGAAATTAGGTTTTTATTTTTATTTTATTTTTTTGGTTGGTTGTTATGATGCAAATTTCTTTATT